CTCCAGGACCATATTAACCAGGTGAAATCAATCTCAGCATGCAGGTGTAGGAGGAGGATTCGTGGTTTAAAGTTATACTTCAGGGAGACGGAGGCTAGCCTGGGCTACATGAGACCTCTCACCAAAAATTAATAAGTGAGTAGATACAGTAAAGGTAGGGTTGGAAGGAAGGGCTTAGCCAGTAAAAGTGCTGGCTGTTCAGGCCTGAATGACCCGAGCTTGAGCCCTAGACTCACAGTGAAAGGGGAGCGTCAACCCTTCAAAACTGTCCTCTGCACACCTGTGCTGTGGCACAAGAGCACCTGTATGCACACACATACCATAACAATAAGTAAAACACTAACAGCTAAGGGCAGAGTTAGAATGGTATCCTGCATCTTATCTTTGACTTTCAGTTTTAAATTTAAAAAACAGGTACATTTTATGTGTGTGTTTTACCTGCATGCATGTATGTGCACTGGTGCACGCAGAGGTCAGAGGAGGGCATTCGACACCCTAGGGCTGGAGTTCGGGGTGGTTGTGAGTCACTGTGATGCTAGGAACCCAGCCTGGGTCCTTGGCCAAGAGCAACAAGTGTTCTGAACCACTGAGCCATCTCTCCAGCCTCTTGTCTTTCTTTCTTTCTTTTTTTTTTTTAGCCAAAAAAAAAAAAAAAAAAAAAAAAGAAAAATATATCTAGAACTGGGTGTGGCAGTGCACACCAGAAATCCCAACACTCAGGAGGTTGAAGAAGGAGACCCTGACTCAGAAGGGTTGTGCCTCAGTTTCCTGGAAACTGGTGCATGCCTTTAAGCCCAGCACTCAGGTGTAGCTAGAGTTTTTCTCTCTGGGTCCCGCCAAGCCCTGACAGTCCCATAGCCCACTTATAAAATAAACATACAGACACTTATATTACTTAAACTACTCGGCCATTAGCTCAGGCCTACCATTGTCTAGCTCTTACTCTTATACTTAGCCCATTTCTGTTAATCTATATGTCACCACGTGTTCTGTGGCTTTACCTGCTGCCTTTATATGATGCTCCCTGGATGGCAGGCTGGCGTCTCCTCCTCTCTGCCTTCCTGTTCTCTCAGTTCTCCTCTCTGTTAGTCCTGCCTATACTTCCTGCCTGGCTACTGGCCAATCAGTGTTTTATTTATCAATCAATCATCCACAGCCCTCAGGAGGCACAGGCAGGTTGATCTCTGAGTTCAAGGTCAGCCTGGTCTACAGAGTGAGTTCCAGGATGGTCTACATAGAAAGAACCTGTTTTGGAAAAAAAAGAAAGAAAGAAAGAAAGAAAGAAAGAAAGAAAGAAAGAAAGAAAGAAAGAAAGAAAGAAAGAAAGAAAGAAGAAAAATACATCTAAATTATAATTTTTAAAATAAAAGCAAAAAAATACTTTAGAACCCAAAAAAATTGAACCTTGAACTCCTGATCCTCCTGCCTCTTCCTTGGGAGTGGTGTGTTACTGGCAGCAGCCACCATGCCTGGAAAGAGCCCTTCTATAAAGCATCCTCAGCCACCTTTCCTGAGAACAGCATGCTTCCCACCTAGGTGCTGAGCACTCTGGGAAAGCGCCCGTTTAGTGACAACTGCTTTCTTTGGCTCTTTCCTCTAGCGGCTTGTTGGAATCTCCTCCGACTCTGACGATTCTGGATGCCCCAAGGAAGCCACTTGTGTTCCGATGGGAGTCCTGCATGAATAAAAGACACCCAGTGACTTCCACAAAGTCCAGGCAACGCCCGCCTCCTCTGTTAGTTACTATCACAGAAAGGTTCCAGGCAGGGCCATGTGGTTCGTTCGCAAAGCTCCCCACCCCATCCCTAGGGACTAGATGGGTGTGGATCTGGGCTAGGTATTTGAGTGACAGAACTGCCCCTCCCTCTGAAGCTTTGCAAGGATAGGATCTGTCAGTCAAGCTCACAATTCAGGCCCCTCCTTAGTCATGCTGATCTTCTGGCTTAGAGGCCTCTTATTCCTCATGCAAACATCTCCGGGCTTCTTACATGGCGCCAGACCTGCTTTTAATTTCTCTTAGCCAGGATCCTTCTACTCCAGGTAGATTTGGGCCAGGTTTCAGGAGGCCTCTAACACAATCAAGCAACTTTTAACCTAATGTTGTAGGTAAAGAATTAATGAATGTAGGCCAGGTGTACAGCCTGGCTTAGAGTGAGTTCCAGGACAAGCAGGGCCACACAGAGAAACCCTGTCTCGAAAAACCTCAACCTTCAGAAAATTAATGAATGTGGTTAAGCTGGAGCTGGGAAGAGACTTGGTTCAAAAATTAAGGGAAGGTGGGTATATTGGAGCATGCAAGTGATCGCAGTCCTTGGAAGACAGAGACAAAGAACCGTTTCAAGTTCAAGGCCAGCCTGAATGAGATAGTGAGTTCTAGGGCATTCTGAGTCATGTAAGACCATTCCAACAAGCAAGGAGATAACCCAAGTCAAAGCTGTACCCCAAGAGCCTGGCTCGCAGCCGGTAATAAGTAAGTGTTGAAATTGTTGAAAGAACTTGGCCCAGTGAATGCGCTAAGAGAAAGAAGCTCCAAGGGGCCTGGGAGATTTACTGACTTGCTCAAGGGTTCACAGCTCATTGCTGACAAAGTGGGGTGATAACCAGGCTTTTTGGCCAAATCCTTTGCGTCCAAGTGGATGGATGAGCAGGCAGTAAGGGGTGAGTCAAGGAAGAAGAGAATCTCTAGGATAGACTGGCTTGAGCTGAGATGGGGAGGAAGACAAGATCTGGGAAAGAGAGATGTGACCAGTAAGCAAGTGCCAGGTTCTTTACCTCGTCCATAGTGTGCAAATGGGGACTGTTATCCCCATTTTTATGAGCTAAAGCAACTGAGCACAGAAGGTGAAATAAATTGCTTTCTTTTTCTGTTTATGAAGTGTCTTATGCTTGGCTTCTTTCTGCCCTCCACATGACCTCTTTGAACAGAGGATTAAACCTGGGGCCTTTCCTTGACAATAGTAACTGTGCTTGAAGTCCACAGAAGGACTTTAGCATCATTTATAGAAGGAGTGGGGAGAAGGCTGTGTGGCTGTGACCTTGCTAAGGAAGGGAAACTGAGGCACAAACCTTCATCCCCTTCTGAGTCAGGATCTCCTTCCTCACCCTCCTGAGTGTTGGGATTTCTGGTGTGCACTGCCATGCCTGACCTCGGCTAAACAGAGCAGCACAGGTAGAGATAAGTCTGCAGGAGGGGCAGGTCTGGGGGTTGACTAGCCAGAACCCCACAGATGGCCTTTTCCTTTTCTGGATTCCAATACAGGCATAAGAATTAAAGGTAGGGCTTGGCCATCTAGTCTAGCCTGGAAGTAACCTGAATCTTTTTCTCTGGTTGGCCTCTTCTTTACAGCATGTCCTGCCCCACTGGCCTGGGGACCCT